AGAGACAGAAGAAATAAAGGCAACTTGCACTGAGACAAATCCGTCAGCCACAAGATCCAGACCAGAGAAAATGAACCTTTTCCAAGATGTGAATCTGGTTTCACCTCCTCTTGAATAATATCACAATTTCCTCCCAGAACTTTGCAAAATCTAAAACGATTTTGTAGGAAAAGCAGAAAAGAACAAAATTCTCCCTTTCCTTTCTCCCTCTCCCCCGACAATATTCAGAGAGGGGACATCTGAAAACCACAGGTATCAACGGTAATTATTTACCTGTCAGGTGCAAGAAAGACTAAAAACAGGTGCAAATACGTATGATAAAGGACAAGAAGGATCTGGCACACTGATAGGTCAGGGAAGAGAAAAGTGAAAATATCATGAAGTCACTTAACAAAGCCAAAAATCAAGCCCTGAACTACAGTGAAAAAATTTTATAATGGATTGTTCCAATCAAGACATATGGGGATCTCCAAATGCATAGTCCATGATGGTTCTGTGTATAGGTTTTTAAGTCAAATAGTTGTCTTGGGCTACAATTCATATCTTCCACCTGGGCAGAGAATATTGTAGGTCTGGAAAGTGTTTTAGTAGAAGTAGCCAGATCATACCTAAACAGCTCTAGACTGGAAATAGAAATAGAATTACAAATAGTCTTTGGAGTAAGAAAAACTAATACAAAACAATTGCCATATCAATGGTCAGTTTGCTCTCCCATGAATGCTGTGGGTAAAAGGAACTAACAAGAATGTGGCACATAATCTCTAAAATTTCAGGCTATACTGTATATGCTATTATTCTTTATGCTCTTTATTTTAGAAAATGTATATTAATGAACAAAAATTATATTGTTATTTATTTTATTATATGGTGGGTTTTTTGCAGCTGAAATTGCCAGGATCAGATCCTGCCCAGGCTGTGGCATATTCCATGTTTCTACGGGTTCCACCACCAGAAGATAGAAAAGATCATGCAAGGCACTTATTCTTGACAATGGACATTAGATTTGTTCTTATTAACTTAATTAATAACAGACATACAGTTTGTCATGTGATTTTAGAATTAAATCATATTTAAAAGAATTAGAACTGTAGAGATTAAGATGAAAACATTCATCTGAAAACATGAATTAACTCTCATCCGTCACTGCCTCTTGCCTAGGAAATAAAAATCTATTCCAGATGATGGAATGCTAATATGTTCTCTGCTTTTTCCTATCATTGGAAAAATATATATATGAAGACTTGGAAGAGAATAATTTTTGAACCTCACTCCAGTATTAGATAGCCTGGTGTTAACGCACTCTGGGTCTTGTAGAATTCAAACTCCTTTTAAAAAATTAAAAATTACCAGAAATTGGTATTAAAACAGGTTTTGCCACTATCTTCTCTCAAAATTATTTAGGTCAGGGCTTCTCAAACTTTGCATTCAGTAACCCTCCTAAATGGTAAATGAATGATGAAATGATAAATGAAGAATAAATGAATAAAACTGATTTAATTGGGGTAAATTGGGCAAAAGAAATACATATTCCGCTTATCTTTATAATTACATTGTAATCTGTATTTCAGTTAAAACAATGATAGAACGTTACAACACACAATCGACTTTCAAACCATATTGTCAGTTAGGAAGGATGAGTTTGCTTACTTTGACAAAATTCCTAAAAGCTGAGTTATATTTTGAGACAGCCATTCTCATTTTACATTCCACCTTTATTTTGAATCAATATTTGCCCTGACCCTTACAAAGAAATTTTGCAAACAGTCAGTATGCTCATGGCCTTCTTACTAAATTCTTTGTACTCACTTTACCCAGTGATTCAAAATTCAGGGAGAAGCATTGTTGGTAATACTATTTTTAAAGAACTGCCAAAAGAGACATCACAATGAATTGCTCCTTTTCAATAGTAAAGTCCTCAGTTAGGCTGCTACACACCATGTCAGCAGAGATGCTGGAGATCCATGAATATTTCTGAGGGAAGGTGAAACCAGCTCTTAGTGTTAGTGCATCACCATGATCTGATAATAGTTTTTCACTATTATCAGATCACATAGAATATATTATATTCACATAGAATATAACCT